CCAATCATAATACCCCTCAACCCCCTTCTCTCTCCCTCCCTCCCTCCCCGCCCTCCTACACCCCTCCCCTTTGGTAACTGCTACTCCCTTCTTGGAGTCTATAAGACCAAAGAGTCTTTTGGAAAAATAAACTAGCTATAAAATACTTTGCTTTTTAAATTTAATAATTTTCTGGATTGATATTAATTATATATGAAGAAATAAATATTAAGACATTAAAATTAACAATAATGGCTACACTGTATATCTTGTTCCATCCTATTACCTTTAATCTGTGTCTTTATATTTAAAGTGGATTTCTTGTAGCCAGCATACAGCTAAGTCTGGCTTTTTAAAGATTCCAGTCTCAAAATCTCTGCCTTTTAATTAGAATGTTCAGATCATACATTTAACATACCTCCTGGTGCAACTAGTTTAAATCTACCATCCTGCTATTTATTTTCTATGTGTTCAATCTGTTGGTTGTTCCCGTTTTTTCCGGCCCTCTTTTGGGTTAAGTATTTTTTAGGATTCTACTTTATTTCTACTACTAGTTTTCTACATTAAAGATAACTTTAATGGTTTATCTGGGCTTTATAGCACATTAATTTACAAAGAAAGGTAGAGAGGCTTTATTAGTATCAGACAAAGGAGATTTCACAACAAGGAACATTAGTAGGGATAAGGAAGGAATTTCAAAATAACAAAGAGTTCTATTAATCAAAGATGTAACAATCCTAAATGTGTATTAACCTAATAACAGAGCTTCCAAAATACATGAAACAAAAACCAAAAAATGGAAAGTATAAACAGATGAATCCACTATTATAGTTAGAGACTTCAACTCTCCTCTTAGTAAGTAATAGAACAAGTAAACAGAAAATTGGAAGGATAAAGACTTGAACAAAGCTATCAACTTAAATCAGTTGACATTTACAGAACACTCCATTTAACAGGGTAAAATATCCAAGTGCAGATGAAATATTCACCAAGACAGACCATATGCAGGGCCACAAAACAAGTATTAACATATTTAACAGAACTGAAATCCCACAAATATTCTCTACCACCACAGAGTTAAAGTAAAATCAGCAACAAAAATATTTGGGAAAAAACACACCAAATATTTAAGAACTAAACACACCCCTAAATAACCCATAGGTCAAAGAAAAAATCACAAACATAATTAGCAAGTATTTTGAAATGAATGAAAATGAAAACACAACAAATGAAAATCCTGTGGGATGCAACTGTAGTCATGCTTAGAAGAAAACTTACAGCATTAAATAGTCTAAATCAATGATCTAAGCTTCTGCCTTCAGAGGCTAGAATAAGAAACAAACCCAGGTTGTGATACAGTTAGAAACAATGGAGACTATGGCAAAATGAGAGTACAATCCCATGTGAAGGCATTCGATTTGCTTAAAAAACATCAGGTGGGTCAAGTAATAGATCTCTGCAAGATATCAAATTCTGACCTGTGCTGTGGAGGAAGAATGAGAGGCAGCTTCCAAAGTACTACCATTATTCTGAGGTGAAAAGAGAAGGGAGAATACTATAGGTGCATGGGAACGAGGTATCACAGCGACAATGTACATGTTATGTGTGTGTGCATGCCTCTTACATGTGTATGACTAGCTAGTTTAGCCAATTTCATTTACCAGTATTAATTTCAACAGAACAATGGCCTTAAATTTGAGACCACCACTAAGTTTGATACACAACCCATTAGTATGACATGGACTAATATTTTTAAATAGTCTTAAATTCCCTCTAACAGTAATAACTTTTCAGTAATTTCCAAATAGATGTTCTTAAGAAGTATAGATATCAAAGCTCTATAAACTACTATGAAGGATTCAGTTACCTCGGCTTCTCTTTTCTTTGCTCGCGCTTTCTCTACTTCATCCATTACTTTCTGGGATTCTTCCACATTCCCTTCAGCTCCTAGTTGTTCCACCTTAGCCAATAATTTACCAATTTCTTCATTTAACTCATGAACACGTTCTGCCTAGAAAGAAACAGAAAAGATCATGAATAAAAAGTAGAATGAGTTGTCAAAGTTCAAAATATTTACAAAATATTCAGAAAAGGCTTGTTATTATATCTAAGATAATATAAGTATAAAAAATGCTCTCGAGCATATCATTAGCGAATTGGTAGGACATCGGGATGTTTTGAGCCTGCCTGTCTTTACTTCAGTGAGTCAGCAATAAAACTCATCTTAATAAAATGATCAACAAAATCTATAGTTATACTGTTTATACTGTTTCCCAAACTTACCCTTTTGTCCTCTGCCTCTTTGACTTTGCACATACTATTCCCACTTCCTACAATGTCATCCATTACCTCTCTTGCCTGACTAGTGGATATCTATTCATTCAACAAGATACAACTCAAAAGTTTATTCTGTGAAATGTTCTTGTCAGGCCATCACCAGATCTCACCCCCACTTAAACACGTAAGCACAGCCTACCCTCCACTTTGTGCCACCTTTGTATTTTTATAAGTTACCTTTATATGTATCATACCATTTTAAAGATAGCTGTTTATATTTCCTATCTTCATGTTTGTAATACCCAAAATATAGCACGGGCTCAAATATAAGTTAAAACAAACTGGTGGATACTCGTTAAAGCAAATACATGGCTTTAGAGTACAACAGGTCTCGCTTGCTGCCACACACATCACCAGCTGTGTAATTCTGACAGTACTTAACCCGAACCCACTTCCTCATCTGAGGAGTAGGGATAAACCTATCTCACAAAGGTGTGAGAAATGAGAGAATGTGCCTTGCATATACATGACACAGCACATTATTAATTTTCATTATACTAGCATGGCTCCACTTCTCCCTTAATTCATGTCTTTCCACTGGGATTAATTCTTGTCTTTTTGGGATGCTGATTAGAACAAACTAACTCTGTTTTGTTTGTCTGTTTGTTT